GCAGGTTTGTTCTCCTCACCCTCCCCCAAAGTGATGTCTTTTGGTAAGCCTTGTGTCCTCAGCTATGCTGAGTGTTGACGGGGATATTAAGCCTGTGACCACAATTGTACTGTTAGGGCTATATGTAGCTAGTCTGCAGTTAATGCATATCCTAAAGCCAACATAACAATGTCTAACTGGTCCTACAGCATGAGATTGAGTAGTCTCATCAGCTAGGAGCTTCAACTCAACCAAGTGACTGTTGGTCAATACAGTTGCTGTCTATCCTCCCTGTTCATTATTTGTCTTTCTGACTAAAGCAATAGGGAGAAGGGGTGCTCACACTAGAGAGTCACGCACATTCTAGTGAAGAAAACATTACTATTTTGGGGAGAATTCACACCTAGTTTAGGTGGCTAACTTAAGACATGAATTTCCTAAGCAGCCCCTGCTCAGACAATAAAAAGATAAACTACTCCAGATGTGGAGCAAGAACCTAATTTAGATGCCTTCACTCCTCCTTACTTCTCCATTGAAACAGACACCACTTGAGAAGGTATTATATTCATTCCCCTGCCCCCAGCTTGTGCTGGGAATCTGGTAAGTCACAAGGTTTTTCTTTTGTAACTTTAGAATGCAGAAGGTATTATTTAAAGGTCTCTGAGGCTACATCAAATCCAAGTACCATGCAGTGTGCACATGTTCATATTTAGTCATCTGCATAGGCTACTGTGAGTGACACTGGGCCATTTTTACAGGATGAATGTTGGTGTATGAGTAGGGCTTTTGCGGCCTCCCATGACCCTCATGCACCATAATGCCAAGGTTCTGAGAACGATTTATAGAGATGTAAATAGGAAGATGTTGCCTTTCACTGGCAGGTGAAATCTACTATTAGTAGAGAACTGAGTCCCTTCTTCAAGAAGAAAAATTGCTCTCTCACTGTGTATCCTTATCAGAGACATATTTAAGATATTATTGGATGCACATACTGAAATTGTGTCAGCAAATTAGTTCACAGGACAACAGCCAGAAAATTTTAATAGCAGTTGTAAATATCTTAAAATGCAGAAAAAAGCAATATAATCCAGTAAAAGAAATGTACTTAAAAATAATTTGAAAGGAGTTAACCACATATACAGGCCATGTATTTCAATTACAACTGAATGTGAACTGCTAAATTTTTAAGGTCAACTGGTTTTGTGTCTATCTGGTTTTCTTATTTTCTAAACATTCTCAATGAAAAACAGGTCAGAGAAAGAGATAAAAAAACCCATGATTTGGAAAGGAGATCCATTAGGAAAATGTGTGAAACAAGAAAGGGGGGAAAGACATCAGGATTAAACAAAAAGGTGCCCAGGAGTCTTTCCAGTAAATCCAGATAAGATAAACACTGGCTTTTCTGGTTGCCAAAATGACCCCTACTGCTGAAAGACAGTTACTCTATAATAATTTGGAGAGCTGGTGTAAAGAACAAAATTAATTAAGACAGGAAAAAATGGCATAGAAAAACCTAGCAAATGTGGAAATTCAGAATGCTACCAGATCTTATTTTACTGGTGTAAAGTAAAATACATCAAGTTGTGGGATGTATTGTCTTATTTGGTGCTTTGTGAAGCAGAGCAAGAGTTGCTTTCCATTTTACCTTCATAGCTGCTCTGAAAACCGAAAAGCTGAGTTTGACAAAACCATTTCTGTTGTTAGAAAACCACAATCAAAGAAGTGGGGCCATACAGTTATTTCCCTAGGTTTAGTTCCATACAAGAAAACAATTCTTTCCTCCAACAGAGCACTGTGATCCCTGGAGTCCTCACCCAAAATGGCAGTTACAAATACAGACAGAATCCAAATGCTCAATAAATAAGGACAGACAAGTATGTTTTAAAGCATTTCAAGAAGCTAATTTATTGATTAGAATATAATCCTGGATGTAGATGATCATATTCTAGATGGCTAAAAGGTGTGACAATTGAAGAGCCCAGCTATTTTCTGTTAAAGTTTCTGTCAGTTTTAAGATATCAAAGATAATTCCAAACTTCAGTCAACATTTGCCTTATTATTACTACTGTATGAAACTTGCATTTCTTTAACTGAAAGCTGTATGTGAAAATCTCTGCCTATGAATAATGCAGTACTTCATGCCACGCCTTGCCTTTCAGACCGGCAGGCAAAATGAACACTGTCCCTAGCCAGGGAAGCCCATCAGCACTAGTGCGACCAGGCACTGATCCACTTTCTGCTCAGGCAGCACCACAGCAGTCTCTTCCCAGTCATGCAAGGGTGCAAGGTCGGCAGTGAAGGCTCCTCTACTCCCCCTCCTGGGAGGTCCGAAGTTCAGCGGCTGTCTTTCCTCACTAAGTCAACAGCCTGCTTTCTGCTCCAGAAATGAAGTACAGTCGAGCTGGATGGATTTTGTAGATGAAGGCAGGAGCTGGGAAGGGGCAGAACTCATCCCCCAGCTGTCCACAGAAGGCAGCCCCACTGGGATAGACAGCCACTCCTGCTCTCCTGTGCTGGGGAAGCTCAGGAGGCCACAAGGCATGACTGTTTTCCATTGAAGTCCCCTTTTTCAGACTCTCTATGTATGGAACACCCCAGCATCCAGGCCTCATTCTTTCTAGCTGCATGGTGGACTGGTTTCCCTAGAAATCAGACACCACAGCAGCACTTTGTATAGAGCCTGCAATGTCATCTTCAACCTAGCCACCCCAAACTAGCGGATTTCCACCAGTGACAGTGTTATCATCAGTGAACAAGACTACAAAGTAATGCCTGAGCAATCCCAGTGTATATAGCTGATGCATTTATTGAACCCTGCCTGAATGGCATCTGGCATTTTTAATACCACCATTCAACATGAATTAAAAGAAACAGCTCTAAACTAGGAGGATGAAGGCAGGGTTTCTATGCGCAGTTTTCGCAGATTAAAAAACAACTTCTGCAACAGAATAGGCAAAACTATACTGAAGGAGAAACACAAGCAACTTGTAAAATTGATGACAATGGAGCAAGTCTTTAAGAATGCTTCTCAAAACATCAATCATACTGACTCCCAGCCACACCACACCACCATTACACAGTCCATGTGCTTTCAGACAGACATTATTCCACAACGCATGGGATTCCAAAATCACCGAGTTTCTGGAAAACAGATTTTGTCCTGATTTTTGTGACAGATGGAGTTGATAGTCTCAGGATGAAAAAAAGCGCCAGTTTTGACAGGCAGCAGATACCGATGCCCCTTGTGGTTGGAGACGATGTTGCTCTGGAATTAAGGTAGCACTGAAACGAAAGGCAGTGGGTAAATTCACCACTATTTACTTTGCTATGCTCCTCTCGTTGTGCCTTAATATTTTTATATCTACTTCCTTATAAGCAAAGCAAAGCGAACGGAGGACTTCAGCAAGTATTTTGCTTTCACTGAAAACTCTTTAACAGACTTTTAAAAACTTTTTACTAGTTGGCAGATAAATTATCAAAGAACTATACTCAGATTTACTGTATTTCTGTCACCAGACACCATTGTAAGTCAGTGTCTTAAAACCGTGCACAAAAACCTCAGGCGAGAACCTGAGTTGAATGAGTTTAAAATCGGTGGAGTATGTGGCAAGTGGAAAGTTGCAATACTGAAGGCATAGCAATGAAATACTTACATGGTCGCAGTACACCACTAATAGAGAGAGCTTTGCTCGCCCTTAATGTACTAGCACACTGAAACCAGGAGATCTGTCTCTATTTCAGTAAGAACAAACTCGGTCCCATTTTGAGCCTGATCCTCCCTACCTTTCTGGAAGCGCCTCTGCCCTGACTTGAATCACTGGGAAGTTCGGGTACACACGTCATCCGGGCTAGAGACCTTTTTTTTTTACCCCCCTCGTTGTAAAGAGCAGGACGAGCGTCAGAGCAACGTCCCCGCAAGAGCAGCACGGGGAGCTCCGCCGCCCGTCCCCGGCGCGCGTGTGGCTGCGAGCACCCTGCGAAGCCGCAGGCCGGGCAGCCCGGGGCCTGGCCCGCGCGCGCCGAGCGCTCTCGCCCGGCCGCCGCGCCTAACGGGAGGAGGGGCTCCTCGGGGGGCTGTCACTCTCCTTAAGCCTTTCCTTTCAAGCTTTGAATGTGAGCTGCCCTCCGGCCCCCCTCTCTCCTCCCCTCCCTCCAGCACATCGTAAAGAGAAGGAGGGGGAAAAGAAAAAGGTTTCAACAACAGGCTGGGCCAATGGCAAGTGGCGAGGCAGGGAAAGGGGGCCGAGCGAAAGGAGAAAAAAGTGGAGAAAGAGAGAAAGAGAGCGAGAGAGCGCAGGCTGGGGGGGAATGTGTAAAAGAAGAAGCGTTGCTAATTTTTTTTGTTTGTTTGCTTTTCCATGCATGCATAATGGAGCCTAATCAGAGCACATTGCTGCTGCTCGGAGGGCACTTTTGTATTTAAAGCCTTTCAAAGAAAAAAAGATCCACAGACGGATCCGTAGAGCAGCTTGCAGGGCGTGTTGACAACAGAAGCAACATCAGTCGCCCAGACAGAAAGAGACCGCGAAGGCTGCCTCTTCTCCTTTCCCCGTGCCCTCGTCTTGCTAGCGGGGAGAGACGTTTCTTCTCCTCGCCACCCTAAAGTGCGACCAGTGCCGAGAGGGAGTGAGCGGAACTGGGACTGTAAATGGGATCGGAGCGGCTGGCATGTGCAAAGATGCTTCGAGCGGAGAGTTAAAAGCGCCCGAGGAGGCAGCAGCAGCTGGGCATTTACTTTGTGGAGGGGGAAAAAAAAAAAGAGACGGAACTGCATGAAGAGCAGGACAGCACTATGAGCTCTCCCGGCGCAACCTGCAATTCCCCGAGTGCAATCCGGATCCGCTGTCGTCCGAGCCCCTGTTTGCTCTGACTCCCCACCCGCACCTCTCGGGCGCTCGCACCTGGCGAGCCGAGCCGGGAACAGCGGGAGGTGGGCCCAGGACGGCCCAGGACGCCTGCTTCGTACCCACGGCTTCAGCTCCCGGGGGCTGGAGAGCCCCGGGCCCGGCGTGCATGGATTGATGCGGGACCTCATGCACACGGCCGGCAGGAGTTTTGGAAACTTTTCCACGGGCTGCAGCTCCTTCTCCTCCTCCTCTTCCTCCTCTTTCTTCTCGTCTACTAGCGCTTTCCCCGCTCGCCCGCGCTGCAGCCACCCCGTCCGCAATGGTGGCCCGCTCGCCCGCTGGACGGAGGCGGCAGGCGCGGTGCCCGGGGCGGCCGCCTGGCTGTGGCTGGCGGCGGCGCTGGGCGCAGTGTGGCGCCGCGGGGTTCGCTGGTGCTGGCCCGGCGGCTGATCTGCTGCAAGGAGGCGGTGCTGCGTGTCAGGGGAGCCCGAGTGCAGCTACGCGTTACAACCATCCGCCGAGGCGTGCGCCCCGGTGCTCCTGCCAGCAGCAGCCGCGGCGGCGGGCGGCGCGGGGATTGCCGACGGGCGCTGCAGGCGCAGCCGCCCCTCCAGGCGGCGGTGCCCCCAGCCACTGCACGCGGCCGCTCATCCAGCTAACACCCGGCCGGCCCGGCGCTGAGACTGCGACTGCGCGCAGAACGAGAACTGCGCGCCACAAGCGCGCCTCGAGCCCTGCCTGCCGACCCGCAGCCCGCGGGCAGTGGCCCGCGGTCCGGCCCCGGTGGCCGCGGCGTCATGGGCTGCACGGAGGCGCGGCGGCGCTGCGACTGGGACAGCCGCTGCAGCCTGGCGCTGAACCGCTACATGACCTACTGCGGGAAGCTGTTCAACGGGCTGCGCTGCACGCCCGAGTGCCGCGCTGTCATCGAGGACATGCTGGCCGTGCCCAAGGCCGTGCTGCTCAACGACTGCGTCTGCGACGGGCTGGAACGGCCCATCTGCGAGTCGGTCAAGGAGAACATGGCACGCCTCTGCTTCGGCGCCGACATGGGCGGCAACAGCGCGGGCAGCAGCGGCGGCTCGGTCGGACGCGGCCTGCGAGGAGTACTTACGACAGGACTACGAGGAGGAGCGACCAGAAGGGAGGGAACGACGCCAGGACAATGCCCGGCGCCGATTCCGGCTTTTCCCTTTGGGTTCCCAGGGCAGCGGATAGCGCTGGCGACCCGCCCGCGGCCGCCCGCGCTCCTCGCCTCCGTTCGTGCTGCCCTGCCCTGCCGAACGGCTCTAGATCCTCCCTCTTCGCATCCTTCCCTGCCTCCCTTGATCAACCTGACTGTTACTCACCACGGCCTCCCCCGTCCCCACCGCCGGCGGGCCGCGGCCAGGCCCCCGCGCCGAGCCGCCGCGGGCCTCATCGAACGCTCCTCGCCGCGCGGGGCCCGGTATCCCGGCCGCGGGGCCTCTCGGCGCGAGCGGCCCCTATATACGTTCCGGCCGTGGATACTCCCGACCCGTCCGCCCCGGCGCCCGTCCCTTCCCTGTCTTCCCCGTCTGCCTCCGCTGCTGCCTGTCGCCCCCTTGCGCCCCCTTTCCCCGGCCCAGCCCTGCGAGTCGGTGGCTGGAGCTGTGGCCGTGGCGCAGGGGCCGCTCCTGTTTCGGGTGTTGGTCTCTCTCGAGTGTGCACTATGCAATTGCTGCCACCCTGCCTTCGTGTTACCAGCGAGCGGAGCGGCTGAGAGAGACTGCCGTCAGCTGCCCTCCGGTACAAACCGGGAGTCGTAGCACGCTGGTAGTGAGGGTCTTTTAAGAGTTTTGACATGAAGGTTAGTAAGAGGAGAGCAACCCAAACTTGCTGCCAAAGCGTTGCCGTACTGATCAGTCAGCAACTTGACTATCATTTGCCGCATCTCGCTCTTCGTGATGCCGTGGTGCCTGAAGGGGGTTTACACCGCATCTGCCATTAATTAAATTTAGGGAAATAGCAGACTGAATAAATTCGGTGGTTTACAGCACTCACTCTTGCACACACATCTTCCCTATAACAAAAGCGTGCCAGCAGCCATCTCTTCCTCTGTAACCTAGCGACATTAAAAAAATATTTTTTTTCAGAATTGTTGGCCGTACTGAACAATGCAACTTTTGTTTTAAAAGAGCTCTGCACTGCCATCTTGAAAGACACTTTTAAACTCGAGAACATGTGTGTACAAATATCCTGAAAAGTTTTATTGCCTCGTCATATCAGAGTGCTGACCTCTGGTAAATCTTATATAAAAAAAGTATTTAAAACTGGGATTTGTTACCAGTCGCTGTTCATTGTATATAGAATTCTATAAATTGTATGCTTTGGGGATAATTTATTTAAAAAAATAATAAAAAGTTTTAATTCTGCATCCTATTTGCCAGATAGCTGCATTTGCTACTCGTTTCTGAAAAGGTACAGGTTTCGTTTTATGTTTAAAGGGATACCAGCAACACTGATTAAGTGAATTATTTTCTAGAACATCAAATGTACAGTGTATTTTACAGATTGAAAGTTAACTTTCTTATTTGAAGAGACTTTATGAACGTGTTAGAATTGTATGAACGCATTTCTGAGCTGCCTTAAACCTTGTATTTTTTATAGAAGGTGTAAAAAAGGCCTGTGTTTTAAATATGTATGGCTTTTTGTATTTTCTAAACGTGTAAATTAGTAAAGAAAGAGCTTTAAATAATGGATGCGGTTAAATTGTTTTCTAGGGACACTTGAACTCTCAGAACCCGAGGTTGGGGGGGATGGGAGGAAGCGGGAATTGAACTACAGAATAACAGACCAAAAAACACTCAACAAACAAAAATTCTCTGTTTGCCTGTAATAGTTTACATGGATGTAAATTACTGCTATTCTTACTTTAATGAATAATTACATGCAAAAAGTAAATACAGCTTTGAAAGTACTACTTTAAATGAGTTGTTCATTTTATAATGCGTTGGCATGGTAACTTGCCAGTGCTAGAAAAGAGTAAAGCAATTCAAAGAAGGTGCTCCTGTATGTATGTATGCACCGCTCTTTCTTCGTGGGGGCACGTTACTCTCACTGACTCATGTAGAAATGCTCCTAGGCGTACAAACAAGTGGTGAGAAATACATCACACAGAGGTGGCAAGCGTTTCGAACAAGGCTTCTCTTGGGGCAGGCAGGGGCACAGGCATCAAGGCGACTGCAACAAAACGGAAAGTTTATCACTCAGCCTGCCTTCTCCCACAACGAAGAATGCAAAAGTAAACACACTGAAGGGATCAGCAATTACTAGATCTTGTAATACTGTTCTTAGGAGTTGCTTTGCATCGTGTTGAAGCCTGGTTTGCTGCCAGAGCTACTGATCTACACTCAAACACCCTTAGATAAATAATTACACTCTTAAGCTGTGTCGAGTGCTGATACACTTGACCTTGTAAATAGAAATGTTTGCAGTAGGAATAAACTCCAGCATTGGAAAATCTTTTAAACATTAACACAAAAGAGAGAGCTCAGTCCTCTGGGGATTTGAGTTTGGACTGTCAAGCTAGGCACTCACCAAAAAAAAAAAAAAAAAAAAGGCAGGGGGAAAAAGTTTATTTATCTTCTATTGATGGTGTTTATTTAAAGCTTTTCGTTTTAAAGGCTGTAATTGCAAGGCAAGTCAGAAGTTTGAAAGCTACCACAAATAAACTTTGACTGAGGGGGCGACAGATTAGCAAGAAATTTTTTTTTCATCTTACCAGATCTTGACAGAGCACAAATCCACATCTGTCTGTTGTATAAATCAACAAAATTAGAAATCCCTGCTTCTGGATTAGTTATTTCAATGAAAGATTATTTTATTATTTCTTCAGGGTGTGAATTTGATTATATTGCCCAGCAGTCAATGCACACAAGTGCACATGCACTCGCATAAACCAGCCCCAAATAGTTGAGATACCTAACAAGTGTGTGAGTACGGTGCGCGGCTATGATCTGAAGTTTGTTTTTAAAGTCATCTGAATGGTTGAGTAAGCTTATTATTAAAACAAAGCTGGAAACTGTTTCTTCAGGAGGAGGACAGAGTAGTTGAGTGAGTCTTGTAAATAGAATCAGCTTTCTATACAAAGTGCTGAGTTCACAAATGGGTAGGGATGATCTTAAATACCTCTTCAGAAGATGACCAGAAACATATTTTCAGTTTGTCAACAGTTAGCACCCACAAGAACTATTTAACTCGTTGATGAAAAATTAAGTCCCAGCTAAAAACCTTTATTTTTCTTCAGTTAGGAGTAAAGACATTAACACTAGAAAATCACTGATAATTAACTGTTACAATAAACTCAAGACTTGATTTTACAAGCTCCTGTCAGAAACATCTGCCAGGAATAAATCAACCCTGAGCACCACTAGGCAGGGACGACTCATCTGTATGCTTCCTTCTCCACAGAAAGTGGATTGTTTTAATTTAAATAATTGTACAGTAAATACAGCTGAACTAATTCTGTCCTGTGAGCTCCTCTCCATAAGGAAATACCTCTGTGGGTTTTATTCTGTTGTTGAAGTAAGCACAATTTCCAGGAGGAATGGCAGCCTGTATTGGTATGTGTCCCAGCCAAAAAAACCTGTGCAGATGTTGATGTCCATCAAATCTCCATGTCTTTTGCTTGATATTTAGACAAATGGAAATTCTTGAACTGTCAAGTAATGTAGCAAGGACAGATTTAAGCAAGGAAAAGACTTCACATTCTCTGACAGAGGGAAATTTTTCGCAGGAAGGGAAGTTCTCTTGTATGTCTGGGTATTGGATAGTGCTCTGTGCTGAGGTCCTGTCCAGCCTATCTCTTCCAGGGGGAGAAGGAACTTTCCATCATTTCATGTAAAATAATCCACTAGGTTCTGCTCCCTTTTCATTCCCAGTTACCAGGTTTGAATTCTTGGTGACAGTTTATTTGTCTTTGCAGGCACTTCAGTGACAAATGTTTAAGGGAGTGTGGGACAATGGTGGAGAACAAGGAGGCAGTTCATTGAACTGACAGTGACCATACAGTAAAAAGAGGGAGATTCAAGCTTCACTGATCACCCAAGCACACAGCAAAGCTTTTGTATGCAATCACAATGGACATAACATAAGGTCTCTGTTTATTTTTAACAATATACACCAATGTATACAGACAGCCATACATAACTTTAAAATTGTCATGAAACTAAGCCTTACAATGGCCGTAAGCAAAGCTCTGGTTTGGCCAAGTCTTTTCATGATCACATTGGAAGGCATGATGGATTTTAGTTACAATCTCCTCTCCACTCCTCCTAAGAGCTTATGGTGTACCAGATCTCTCACTGCAGGCATGCACCTATAGGACATAGAAAGGGCTGCAAAGGTGGTGGCAGACAGCTTTGCAGGTGCAGAACCAGACGTTCCATCTCAATGCAATGCAAAAGCAGTACTTGCTTTTTGGTTTGTTTTTTAATTTTGAAGGTTGTTTTTCCTTTGGAAGGTGAGAGGTACTTTAAGTGCACGTATAAAAAGTAGTGGGACACAAAATCATTGCCAACTGAGTAATGGAAAATGCTTCTTGAGTGACTGAGTTGCATTGCATCTTCAGATGTCCCTAAAAAAACTTCAGACCTTCAAGTGATTTTGTTCCTGTCCCCAGTAATAACATCGCACACTGCCACACTGCCTGTGGTAACACCCATTGCAAGTCCTCAGGAGAAGCAGGTAGTCGTGCAACAGAAAAGATTTTCAAACAGGAAGAGCAGTGCTTCTCTGTGAGATTTCATGTCTGTGATACAGATTTGTAAGCAGTAAAGTCGAAAGTTACTGTATTTTATTGGAGGCATTGGCTGTGGTAGACAGTTGAAAAGGCTCACATTGACTGTCTGAATGACATAAGTTATGTGCTATTAGCATAAATACTTTCTAAGACATCCATTTAATCAATTTCTTAAATAACAGAATGATCTACTACAAAATAGTGGACTGTATACACTATATTTTGGCACAAAGATGGTCATTCTCCCACTAGTAACCAGGGGCTCTAAATAAATGATTTCAACAATGTTTTATTAAAGGAGGACAAGAGCCCTCGAGCTGCATTAATCGGGGAGAAGTCGAGTGGCACTTTTGTTATGGAAATGTTAAACACATAATAGTTCAGGCAAACAATGTGGAGCCACTTCATTCTCTCAGCCATTCTGACACCTCTTAAAGAGGAACTGCAGGGAAGGATGTGGGAAAGATTTGCTTTCTGAAGAAGCTTTCAGCTAATATTTTGGATATTTACTTCCAAAATTCAGCCACTGCAAATGTAACTGAGGGGCATAAAAATAAAACAACAACGAAGGATGATTTATGTAGCTACTTCTAGTGATGAGAGTTTGGTGCTTAAAATCAAAGTAGTCATTGACAAACCCTTCTTTTCTTTAAAGTTTCTTTCTAAAATGAATTTATTATGAGTCAAGTGGATAATATAGTATGAGCTGAATGTGCACGAAGAGAGATTTTTCTTTACACACAGTGATATAGCTTTAGTACTATACCTTGGACATACGCCAGCAAAGGGAAAGAGGAACACCCCAGAGTAAGGAAATACATGGACTGAGGTTTAGTAGGATGGGTCATGAGATGAAGTGTGATGTGTAGGCAACCTAGAAATACATGAATAAAGTGATACAGAGTGAAGACATGACTACGTAAAAAGGGATTCGCTTTCAAAAGTGGTATCTCAAGTGGGTGAGAGGAAGAAAGAGTAAG